CTCTCTCTCTCTCTCTGTGGGGGTGTGCCTCTCTGTGGGGGTGTGGGTGAATGTGTGTGGATGAGTCTGGGTGTGGGTGTGTCTCTGGGTGTGAGAGTTGTGTGGGTGTGTGGGTGTGTGGGTGTGTGGATGTCTTTGTAGATGTGTGAGTGTGTTGTGTCTGGGTATGTGTGGGTGTGTGAAGGTGTCTGGGTGTGTCTGGGTGTGTGAGTGTCTAGGTGTGGGTGTGTGTGAATGGGTGTGTGTATGTGTGTGAGGGTGTGTCTGGGTGGGTGTGGGTGTGAGGGTGTGTCTAGGTGTGGGTGTGTGTGTCTGGGTGTGAGTGTGTGAGGGCGTGTCTGGGTGTGTGAGTGTGTGAGGGTGTGTCTGGGTGTGTGTGTGAATGGGTGTGTGTGTGTGAGGGCTTGTCTGGGTGGGTGTGGGTGTGAAACCTTGCTGCATTCACACTGAAGAGCGGCTCTAACTTGTGCCCAGCTACTCCTGCTGAGTCTGCAGTCCCCACTTAGCCGTTTGGTGGATCTGAGTTCACTGATACACACATACGCCACCATCAGGCTGGGAGGCAGTAGACCTGGTCCGAGGGCAGCACACGGATGTGTCACACACGCAGACAACTCCATTTCATTCGCTTGCTGCGGCTGAAGCCCAGGTTCAGCTGTGTCCTAAGTAGGAGTGGGAGAAAATTCACAAGGCCGTTTGGCCCACGATGGGCAGACACAGCCTTCTTGACAGCAGCTGTTGAAGAGAGAATCCCCCCTTTCCTGACGAGGGGTGCACAGCAGTTTCGTGAAGCCAGGATAGAAAGAACTGGACTGAGCAGTGCTGTTGGGAACAACCAGTGCTCCCCAGGGACGATTCTGAACACAGAATCCCAGGTCGGGCCAGTCTGTGGTTGCCATGGTGATGAACAGACACGTGGGGTCGGAGGGGAGAACCTTGGGGCTGTGCTGGCGGAGATGAACTCCACCCATCCCTGGTCAAGGTCAAGCCTGAGCACGTGAGGCAGAAACACTGACGCTTGCCCCAGACGCGCTGGCAGGAGGCCAGGGGCTTCCCCATAGACCCCGTCCCCACCTTGGGTCACAAAACACCTCTGAGCTGATCTCCACAGCGTGGCAGGTGTTGAAAAACATGCCAGTGCTGTCCTTGTCCCCCGGGAGAGGCCAATCAGCTTCCCACCTCTGCACACACGCACGTGCACACACTTCCCAGAGAACGGCTGCTGTTTGTGATGTCTCCCGCAGCCAGAAGGGACTTTACACAGCTTTGCACGGCCCAGTCTTCCACGCACAGGAGAAATCCCTCTCTCCACACCCCAGCCTCCTCTCAGCCTCCCACTCCTCGAATGCCCGGGGGCTGAGGAGTAGAACATGTATGTTGGGGGCTGCAAGTGGCCACAACAAAAGCCCCGGTGAACCAGACATCAAAGGGAGCACGCAGCTGCCAGGGCAGCTGGGGAGGCCTCGGCCAGCCTTGGGCTCTGCTCCATCTCCCTGTGCTTGGCTTGCTGAGTGCCCAGTGCTGGAGCCCTCGTTCCCGCTCCCGCTCCCATTCCTCATGGCCGCCGACGGCGTCTGCTCCCCCACGCCCCAGAAGGCAGCAAGAGTCTACTCCTCACTCATCCATCAGAAGTCTCCAACGTCAGTGCGTGTGATCCATCAGCAGGCTAAAGAACTGCATCAGCCACTACAGAAAGGCAAAACCCAGCGCTCACCTGAGATAGAGACGTGCAGTACCGGAGCACGAGAGGGACACAGCCTCGACTTGGCAGAGGACACGGGCGAGAAACAGGAGCAAGGCAAGAACGTCCCCTCTCACCACGGCTTTGCAACACCGTCCGAGGAGTTCCAGAGAGCGGAAGGAAAATCCGATACAAGTGACACAGCGTGGAAAGGAAGCAGTTAGACTGTCCTTGTCTGCACGCACGCATCGTCTACGTGGATATTCCAAAGAATCGGCCAAGAAACCCCTCAAACTAACGAGTGCTTACAGCAAGGTTGCAGGATACAAACTCCATATGCAAAAAATGTCAACCGCTATCTCAGATACCAGCAGCAAACAAGTGGGATTTGAAATTGAAAGCATAATGCCGTTTATCTCAGCCCCCTCAAAGATGAAATAGTTAGGTGCAAATCTAACAAAAAATGAATAAGATCTCTGCAAAGCAAAAACCTGATGGAAGAAATAAGAAAGGAACTAAACAAATGAGGCTATTCCGTGTTCACAAACAGGAAGACCCAATATCATCAAGACGTCAGCTCTTCCAAACTTGAGATTCCACGCCATCCCAGGCAAAATTCCAGAGAGCTGCCGTGGGGATACTGAGGAGCCGATTCTGAAGTTCATGTTTGTGGAGAGGCAGACAACCCAGGAGAAGCATCTCAGTTTTGGAGAAGAGCACAGGGAGTTGACGCTGCCCGACTCTGAAGTGCTCCGCAGAGCTCCAGAGTCCAAGACGGTGTCGTATCAGTCTTGTCGACGGATCTGTGAAGCAGAGCCAGAGCCCAGAAATGAACTCACGGGAATAGAGCAAAAGAGCATCAGAAGCAACCACTGGGTGTCTGCATGCAAACAGCTAAAAAAATAAAAAATAAAAAAGGACCTCCACACAGAGCTTGCAACTTTCACAAAAAATAGCTCACAATGGAACACAGCCCTAAATGTAAAACATAAAACTACAAAATTCCTAGGAGATAACACAGAAGAAAAATCAAGATGATCGTGGCTACAACTCCAAAGGCATGATCCATGAAAGAAATAATCAATAAGCTGGACTGGATTAGAATTAAAAACTTGAGGCCGTTGCTGTGGCGTAGCGGGTAAAGCTGCTGCCTGCAGTGCCGGCATCCCATATGGGTGCCAGTTCGGGTCCCGGCTGCTCCACTTCCAATCCAGCTCTCTGCTATGGCCTGAGAAACCAGTGGAAGATGGTCCAAGTGCTTGGGCCCCTGTATCTGCGTGGGAGACCCAGAAGAAGCCCCTGGCTCCTGACTTCAGATCAGATCAGCTCCAGCCGTTGCGGCCAACTGGAGAGTGAACCAGCGGATGGAAGACCTCTCTCTCTCCCCCCCCCCCCTTCTTCTTCTCTGAGTAACTCTGCCTTTCAAATAAAAAAAATAAATCTTTCTTTAAAAAACTAAAAACGTAGGCTCTGCAAAAGACACTGTCAAGAGAGTGAAAAGAGAAGCCGTGGCCTGGGAGAAAATATTTGGAAAAGACACGTCTGATACAGAACTGTCGCCCAAAACACACCAGGAGCTCCTAGACGCAACAACAGAAAGACCACTAAAAAGCGTACCAATGGTCTCAACAGAGACCTCACCAACTGCGTACACATGGCGGATGAGCCGGTGGTGGGCGCCCGCTGTGATCAGTCTCGGGAATTGCAAGCTGAAACAATGCGACGACGCCACCGCACACCTGTTAGGATGGGGAAAATCCGAAACAGCACTCACAGAACCGAATACTGCTGAGATGCGGAGCGGAGCTGCCACTCGGGAAGACGGTTTGGCCGACTCCCGCCAGGCCGAGCGCTGTTAGCACAGGCTCCAACAGCCTTGCTCCTGGGTGCTCTCCCGAGTGAGTTACCCACACAAGAACATAGCCAAAATGTGGAAGCAGCCGAGATGTCCTTCAGTAGGGAAACGGACAAACAGCCACGCAGATGAAGCAATGCTATTGAGTACTGGGCATCAATGAGCTAGCAAGCCGTGGAAAGACGCAGAGGAAATGCAAACGCGTGTTCAGAAACCATCCTGGAAGGACTACCTACTGTATGGCATTCTAGAAAAGGCACAACTAGGGATCCAAAGCTCAGGGCCGGCCATGGGCTGGGACGGGGGAGAGGAACAGGTGGCACCCAGAGTGTTTAGGGCAGGGAAAGTGCTCTGCGTGGTACTCTAACACTGGGGCCGTGATATCAAACCGTCGCCCAAATCTGCAGGATGTAAAACACCCAGAATGACTCCTAATACAGACTGTGTGTGACAATGACACATCCATGCAGGCTCACCCACACTCCACGGGGGTCTCCGGGGACGAGCGTTCACCCGACGCTCCACGGGGGTCTCCGGGGATGAGCGTTCACCCACACTCCACGGGGGTCTCCAGGGACGAGCGTTCACCCGGTGCTCCACGGGGGTCTCCGGGGACGAGCGTTCACCCGGCGCTCCACAGGGGTCTCTGGGGACGAGCAGTTCCAGAGCGCTCAGGCCTTGATCAGCCCCCTGGGAGGCGCCTGAGAAACTGCTGTTCTTCTCCAACCTCCTTCTAATGCTTTCTAGTTTTGTGGTTGTTCTTGGGGTAAACAAAGGCAGCAAATAGGAAATAACCAGCTCTTTAAGCCTCGAGTGCACGTGTACTGAGAGCCACTTTGTCTCTCAACTCAAAGCTGCCCTTTACAAGCAAACGATGAGAGCCCACTGTGGGTGGGCTTCGCAGCCCCGGAGCTCATCCCTGCAGAGCAGCTGATGCGACCTGGAGGACGGTTTCAGCGCACAGTGGCCGCCTGTTGCTGAACGCGACAGTGGCAGGTGCTGCTCTGCCCGTGAGCAGTTCTGGCCCCATTGCCCAGGGCTTTGGGTAACTCTCTTGCCTGTGCAAAGTGGTTTGCTAGTGCCTTTCTCACTGTCCTTGTACTGCCTGCCTGCAAAGCGAGCTAGATGTGACCCCAACAACAAAAACCCTCAGCTCCAGACACCAAGAAGTTCCCAACCCCGGCTCCCAGCAATGCTCCTGCAGCAGCCCCAGCCCTGAGCCTCCTCTTCCTGTTGCCTGGCCTGAAAGACTCCGGCAGTGTCTTGTGAGTCCCAGCGTCAAAGGCCGGTCCCGCCCTGCGGAGGCGGAGCCGGGGCAGGTCTGCACGGAGTCCATGCCATTGTTCAGGGCAGGTGCGAGGGCACTCCCAGGCAGAGTTAGGGACCTTGGACTCAGTTCATGGAGAACCTCCGCGCCTGGCTGCCCAGGCTGCACCTGCTTATTTCCGAATGCCATCTGGAAAGTCTTGTGACTGTTGTCTTTTTTTTTTTTGACAGGCAGAGTGGACAGTGAGAGAGAGACACAGAGAGAAAGGTCTTCCTTTGCCGTTGGTTCACCCTCCGATGGCCGCCGCGGCCGGCGCACTGCGGCCGGCGCACCGCGCTGATCCAATGGCAGGAGCCAGGAACCAGGTGCTTTTCCTGGTCTCCCATGGGGTGCAGGGCCCAGGCACTTGGGCCATCCTCCACTGCACTCCCTGGCCACAGCAGAGAGCTGGCCTGGAAGAGGGGCAACCGGGACAGAATCCGGCGCCCCGACCGGGACTAGAACCTGGTGTGCCAGCGCCGCTAGGCGGAGGATTAGCCTAGTGAGCCGCGGCGCCGGCCGTGACTGTTGCCTTAATACCAGTCGTGTCCAAATAGTGTTTCAAAGAAGATGCTTGCAGAGGTAACGGTTCTGGAGAACCTGCGCAGGAGGAGAGCTGCAGGGCCGCCTTCTTCCCGCCCCAGCTGTTGCCCTGCGCCCCGGCTCTCGGGGGGGGGGGGGGGACAAGGTTAAGTGCCCGAGGCTCTCCCCTCTGAAGACCCCTAAAGGATGGCACGCAAGTCAGGAAGACAAGCTTGCTTTCCCTGGGGACTGCAGCCAATCTTCCCCCTTTTCCAGGGCACATCTGTCGTTAACAGAGTCGCCGATTGTCAGAAATGAGGCGGTCCCTCGGGGACCCGCGCACGGAAGCTTCCAGCACTCTGCTGCATCCATCACGCGGAGTCGGGGCTCTCCTCGGCTCGCTGCTCCTTCGGTTATCTCCCCGAAACAAATGCTGGCGGACGGGCTCTGCAGAATTCCATTCCAGAACTCGCCAGCGTTTCTAATGAATATAAATTTCCGGAAGAATATTTGAGATTGGCCACCCGCATTCCAAGTTTCCAGCGTGCCCATGACACAAGCCACTGGCTTCCAAGCCTGCAGTTGTCGTCGCTGCAAAACCTGAGCTTCAAATCACAAGACCTGAACCACCGTGCGCTCCGAGACTTGGGGAAGCATTTAACCCAGGCAATCAAGGTACTGTAACAGAAGCACTTTTATAGCTGTGACGCGCGTCCTTCCCTGCAGGTGACACTCAGCCTGGAGAAGCTGGCCGCCCATGGGGGCTGCTGGCCGTGGTGTCCTGCGAGAACGGTGGCTATGGGCATTGCCCCTGCACCAGACGCCCCCGTGCAGAGCCGGCGCTGCCCCTACTCACTCTGAATGTGCACAGGACCCTGAAACACTCCATGCCTCAGTTTCCCCATCTGACCCTGGGGCTGAGTTCATGGTGAATGAGACCTTGGCAGTAAAGAGCTGCTGAGGGCGGTGCCTGGAGCCCGGCGGGTGGGCAGTGGTGTCTGTCACCATCCAGGGGTTCGCTAAAGACTTCGATCCCCACTGGATCCCCTGAGAACGCCGTCATCCACTGCAGCCAGCCAAGGGCTCTACTCACAGGTAAGGACCACCCTGCTCTGCACCCAGATGTGGGGCAAGCTGTGAGCCCCTGGGCCAGCCAGGGCTGCCAGGCCATTCCGCCCCCACCCCCCGCACCTGCAGTGCCTCCCTCCCTGGGCCCCCCCTGCTGTGTGCGGGAGGCGGCTGAGGGCAGAGTGGGGGGCACAGTGTCTGCTGCCCGGGCGGGGCACAGGCTGCTGGTGCGGGCAGCAGCCCCGAGGCAAGCTGCCTCAACACGGCAGGGGAATGAAGTCGTTGTCCCCACAAATCTCGGGGGATCGGGTTGAGAAAGCAGTGCCTCTCAGCCAGGGACCACTTCCCCCCTCCCCTCCCAGGGACACTGGGCAGTCTCCAGAGACCTGTCCGGTTGCCCCAGCGTGAGGAGGACATTCCTGACACCCACTGGGCCAAGACCAGAGGAGCACCGATCAGCCTGCAGCGCACAGGACGGCTACAGCAGAGCCCAGGCCTGCGCACCGGCACTGAGGACCAGGACTTGGGGGACAGCGAAGCGGCAAAGGAGATGCTCATCCGGGGGACTGGGACAGTCAGGGCTGCGGAGGGAAGGTGGAGGGCTTCCAGGAAGTGGTCGCAGCACCCACAGGGGCTGGAGGGAGGAATGGGGGAGGGAGGCTGGCGCAGGGGAGGCCCACGCGGCGTGTGTGGTCCAGGTGGACCTTCAGCCCAGCCACAGCGCCCTTCCCCAAGCCAGGGTCACCAGTGACCAGGACAGGCCAGTCCTCCCCTCCACTCAGGACCCAAGTCAGGAACAGCGTGACCCAAAGCCCAAAAGGTTGGAGCGGGCTCACCACGGCAGCGGCACAGGGACCCTAGGAGCTCCTCTGATGACCACCCTCCCCTCCCCCACCCCACCTCTGCAACGCTTCGTCAGAACAGGTCCCCCCTTAGCCCGTCAGCCAGCGGCAGAGGTGTGGGAGCTGACAGGCCTGCATGAGGCTAGGGAGACGAGCCCCCTTAACCCAGCCCGGAACACACAACAGTGCGGACCCTCGGCGGAGGAGACAGTTTCCCCCAGGCACCACACACCTGCTCACCATACCACCCGGCCATTGCTCTGTTGGGCATTTATCCCTGAGAGATGAAAACTTCTGTGCAGACAAGAACATGCCCGTGAACAGCCACAACAGACCTACTGATCAAATAGCCAAAATCAGAGTCAAAATCAGAGACGATCCACCGCCTCGGCCGGTGAATGGGGACAGAAGCCGTGGTGCGTCCGCACCAGGAACGACGACGCCAAGGAGAGAGCCATTCGAGCGTGTGAGAGCTCGGGTGAGCCTCCAGGGAGCTCTGCTGAGTGGGAAAAGCCAATCCGAAAAGGGTACACACTGAAAATGAGAAAATTACCCGGACGAGGTCAGAGTGGCGATCGCCAGGGGCTGGGAGGGTTGCAGTCTCTGCTCTACATTACTTTAATTACAGCAGCCGGGAGGAGAGTCCTCGGGAAGGCAGACGTTCATTGCAGCTGACAGTTGGAGGTTACAGGGCCGGGCGGGCGGCCCCTGGGGCCGGCATCTGCCCGAGGCTGGCCGTGGCCGTGGCAGGTGCAGAGGCACAGGGCGGGGCAGGAAGCAGAGAGGCGGCCTTGGCAGGACCTAGACTCCAACAAGCAAACCTCTCAGGAGAGCCACACCCCACTGCGACCCCAAAGACAGCCCCACCCCACAGGCGTCACCTAGCCCAGGCTCCCACTCTCAGCGGCAGTCAGCTATTATGGTTCCGGCAGCCAAGGCTGAACATGGGCCAGAGTTCTGGGAGGACAAGCCCCTCCACACCCATGACAGGGACGGGGGAGGCGGGGGGGGGGGTGGCTGGGATGGCAGCAGGTGACACACGAAACACAGTGTCACGGAAATGAATGCGCACACACGCCTGCTCGTAAGACCCACGAGACCTGACGCAGATAGACGGATTCATCGGCTGGGCTCCGGGCTGGGATGTCTTAGTGGTATTAGGCAAGGTGGCGCCACTGCGGGAGAATGAGTGAACGGCCCGTGGGCTTTCTCGCTTTTCTTATAAGCAAGTGCGAGCGGACAATTAACTACAGGGAAATGGGAGAAGGAAGGAAGGCAGGAGGGAGTGGCAGAACTGAGGGGGAGGGAGTGACAGAACTGGGGGAGAGGGAGAAGGAGAAGGGGGGAGGGGGAGAGAGGATGGGAGAGAGGGAACGAGAGAGAGGAAGGGGGGCCCAAAATGAGCTCAATGCTGCATCCGTGCCTTAACCAACCTGCAGAACCTGCTCTCCTCCCACCTGCACCTAGGCAGGTGGATACCATCTTGAGATAATTACAAAACTGGCTTCCCAAGGCAGGTAGAAGATAGGTACGCCTCCCAGTAACTAGAAGCTAACCAGGGTGCTCTTCTACCAAGTCGCTGTGCCCACCCTGGCAGCACGGACCGGACCACCTCCAGCCATCCATTCAGTTACCTGCCGTCCGGACAGCCCAGCCCTGCCACAGGACAGAGCCGGCCCCTGCTTCCCTGGTGAGGAGCTGGGGAACAGGGGCACACAGCAGGCGGAGAGGACGCTCCCTCGCCACGCGGAGGGAGGCGCAGGGCGCTGGTGCCGCGAAGTCCTCTCCGCAGCTCACGTCCAGCTCCAACCAGGCCGAGGCTGCGGCTGCTTCAGCGGGGGAGTCCCACCCCCACCCCTTCCTCCCGCGGGGCTCCCACGCCCCCAGGAGTCCTCCGGAAGGCGCCCTGCGGGAGACTCCTGGGGACTTGGGCTTCCACCGCTTCCGCCTGCCCTGCGGCCACTCTCTGGCTAACGCATCCCAGCCCTGGAAGCCCCACGCAGCCTCTTCGGAGGCAGCCTTCAGCCCCACCTGTTTCCAACCAAACCCTGGCCCTGCCCTATGCCGGCTCCTCCGACGCTGCCGGGCACAGGCTCGGGACGGCTGGTTCGGCTCTGATGCCCTGGCCCAGCTGATCCCAAGGTTCTCCAAGGCCCCAGGAAACTGCGGTGCTGGAGTCCAGGCCACGGGGCTCTCACCAGGCCGGCCCCACTGAACACGGGAACCCCGCGGCGTGGGCACACAGGACAGCCCCTTCGCTGCACCTCTCTCCTCTCACCTCACTGCCTCTCGCGCTCCCCCCACACCTGTCTCCCCGCCAGCTCTCTCCTGCCCGGGCCATGGCACCTGCCCTGCCCTCTGTGCCCCGCCCTCCACCCCTGCCTTCCTCAGCCCTCACCTCCCAGCCGCCCTCGAGTGCGGGCTTAGGGGCCCTTAACCGCACACTGGAAAGCAACGTCGGTGACAGCGGGGACGTCGCTTTGCTCCCTGCCCCCTCCCAGGGCCCAGAGCAGCGCTGGGCAGGAGTGGGGACTCCCGGCTGCCACAGGGGCCCCAGGGCCACCCCACAGGCGCTCAGAGAATTTCCTCCAAGCAGTGGCCTCACTCCTGCCTCTCCCCGTCGTCCATTTAAGTGGGGAAAGAATTGAAAACCAGTGAGATGCACTTAGGAGGTGGCCTTGAGGGGTCAGCGGCCCTGCCCAGCGAGGGGGCTCCTCCCGGGGTCTCTGTGTCATCAATTATTCACCGGCCCGACTGTGTCCCTGGCGCCACCAGGACAGGGAGGACAGGGGCCCTGCCCGGGGCTGCCCAGGAAGGGAGGCAGAGCCTGGGCCCAGACGCTCCCCTCTGAAGCCGCCGCGCCTCCTCGCGATCCGTCCTCATTATGTCGCCACTTTCAACAGGGCTGTTATTTTCTGATTTCAAAGGCAATGAGAAGCTTATAAAATATTCCTTTAGGTAGAGAAATAATAAAAATCCGACCCCAGCAGTCTTCCTGGACAAGCGCGGTGCACTGGGTTTGTACCCGGGGCAGTGCGATCTGCAGACCCCACCCTGATCTCCACCCCATGACGTCAGACCCTTCTTACCCCACGAAGCAGCGAAGTGTAACCCACACAGCCTGCCTCTCCTGCCGCACAAGGCTTTCTCTCCCACCCTCCCTCCCTCCCTCTCTCTCCCACCCTCCCTCCCTCCCTCTCCCTCCTTCCCTCTCTCTCTCCTTCCCTCTCTCTCTCCCTCCCTCTCTCTCTTGCTCCCCCTCTCCCCTCCCCCCTCCCTCCCTCTCCCTCGCACCCTCCCTTCCTCCCTCTCCCTCCTTCCCTCTCTCCCTCCCTCGCTCTCTCTCTTGCTCCCCCTCTCCCCTCCCCCCTCCCTCCCCCCTCCCCTCCCTCTCTCCTCATCTCCCCTCCTGTAGGGCTGCTGTATCTAATGCTGCCGTGGACAACCGGGGCGCAGAGTCTTGAATCTCCTATAATCATTTCGACCGGTAGTGAGGAAGAGGAGGATCCTGACCCAAGTGTGGCGCTGCTGCGAGGTTTCTCAGGGCTCTGGTGCTGAGCGCACCCTCCCTGTAGAAATGCTGTAGCTGAGCAACACGGGCTGGCTGCAGAACCTCCGAGCCTCACTTTGCCCTTCTGTTCAATGGGTATGATGTTTTGGATGTCCTGGTGGGGAGGGGACACAGCAGTGCAGCCCAGCCAGCGCCTCCTCTCTCTGTGACCCCAGAGCCTGCGCCCATCTCCCCTCCTTCCTGTCCCACAGGTGCGCAGTGACAGGGAGGCAGATGCTTGCTTGTACCCAACACCTCGGTGAGTGCAGCCACCCACAGACACAGCTGGATGCCGGGGGCAAGGGTGCTGGGACGCCACGAGGACACAGACCACCAAGCTGCTTTTTTTTTTAATTAATTAATTTATTTTTTGACAGGCAGAGTGGGCAGTGAGAGAGACAGAGAGAAAGGTCTTCCTTTGCCGTTGGTTCACCCTCCAATGGCCGTTGTGGCCGGTGCACCGCGCTGATCTGAAGCCAGGAGCCAGGTGCTTCTCCTGGTCTCCCATGGGGTGCAGTGCCCAAGCACTTGGGCCATCCTCCACTGCCCTCCCGGGCCACAGCAGAGAGCTGGCCTGGAAGAGGGGCAACCAGGACAGAATCTGGCGCCCCAACCGGGACTAGAACCCAGGGTGCCGGTGCCACAGGAGGAGGATTAGCCTAGTGAGCCACGGCGCCGGCCCTAAGCAGCTTTCTTGTCACCAGGAAGAGGCTCATCAGCTGCTCCGTGAGAGAAGGGCAGGAAAAGCAGAAAGTGGACATGATGCTGTCCAGTGACAATGACAACGACACGGAAGTCGGGCGTGTTGGCGTCGCACAGTCCAGGGTCTGTGTCCCATCGGCCTGTCTCGCCCCCTGTCAGTTCCCTCACCTGGGAAATGGTATAACCCACCTGGTTGTGGTGGTCAGGACTGAAGGGGCTGATGTTTATCAAGTACCTGGCACAGGTCATCAAGTGGGCGGCAGGAGCTAGGACCTCAGGTCCCTTTATCTGGGGGTCCCGGAAAAGGCCACACCTCCCCAAGCCCCTCCCCCATGTGCTGGACCAGCACGGGGGTTAGGGGGTTGGCAGGCAGCTGTGTCCCTGGCTACTCACCTGTCCTCTTCCTCCAGGGTCTGTCCGGTGGCCGTCTGCAGTGACGGGCGCCGGGGGCCTGCGTGGACTGTAGCGAAGCCCAGAGGTGTGTCCGAGTTTGGCTCCTGGCACAGGTGCATTTCTGACTAGGAAGAGCTCAGCTCCCCAGGCAGATCCCCGGAGCTTCCTGTCTGCGTGGACTGCGTCACTCCTGAGCCTACGGCCCTTAGTCCCCCGTCTCTGCCCACGGGGAGGCCAGCCCTTGCTCTGTACAGCCTGCCCCCGCCCCTGCCAGTGTGGCCAGGCGGCGTTGGCTGCAAGGCTGCATGGTTCCCTCTGGGGCGGGAGTTCTCGAGCGAGCTTAGCACCCATCCCGATTCTGCCTGGCCGGTCCACTGTCTCAGCAGCATCTGTGGTCCCCGGTGGCTGGGGACAGTGTCCTGACATTGATGCTGAGAGAAAGGGTGGGGGCCCTGAGTGGCAGCGAGTGGGCATTGTCATCAGAGCGTCATAGCCCAGGGTTGTGCATGGAACTTTCCAGAATCTGTTAATGGGGACAGAATCCGTCCCATGGCATCCGGGTCTTTAATGACTCCCAGGAAGCTCAGAGCTGCCTGCACAGTCACGTTGAGTCTGCAAAGAACTGGCCTGAACCAGCCTGAGCCTGCCGGGTGCCGGATTCCAGGTTTCATCCCCCGCATAACCAAGGTGGTAAATCACAGGTGTCAGACAATTTCACGCCGGTGTGGCTGCCTGAGGACGCAATCGACCTGCGGCAGCTCCATCTCACGCATGATTGATCGCCGGGACCCGCAGGGAATTGCAGACGCAGGCTGGGTCTGACCTTGAGAGCCGCAGCCCCTCCCAGGGGACTGGGCCCCCCAGGGACACCTGACCACAAATGCAGAGGTGCGGGTGCCCCTGGCATCTGGTGGGCAGCAACCAAGGGGGGCTGCTAAACTTCCCACGGGGCACAGGGCAGCCCCACTGCATGGGCAGAGCCACCGAGGCAGGCTCTGAGCGACAGGTACAGGGAACGTCCCATTCCACACCTGGATATGGCCGTGGACGGCACAGAGTGGGCGCCGCTGGCTTCCTGCAGAAGCAAACCCAGGCGGAAGTCCGTGCTCCTCTTCTCCTGCTTCCCTCCTGTGGCAACTCCCCCTTCCCACCTGTTCGTACTGGCATGGCCTCCCCCTGGACCAGGTGGAAGAATGAAAAGCCAGGGAGCACCTGACAATTTTGCTTGCCTTCATGAAAATACGTTGTTTTGAAAATGACCCCTGGGGAGCAGGCAAGCGGTGGAGGAGAGGAGAAGCTGTGGCATCAGCCGACCAGGTGACCGCCCCAGGTGAGAGTCCAGCGCTCACAGGAGTGCACGCACACACACACGCATGCCGGCGGCAGCTGTGGCTACGGCTGCAGGGGAGATGCGGGGAGCAGGGCCCTGCTGGGGTGCAGTCTGCGATTTACAACAGCAAGTAAGGGACTGAGCGGAAAACACCAGAAGGCGTCACTCACCACGGTGAAGGGGCTGCTGGTTGTGCGATTTTAGTTTCAGAGCATGCGTGTGCATCCACACGTGCACGCGCGCCTTGTAAAATGCACTTCTCGGAGACGGCGCCGTGGCTCACTTGGTTAATCCTCTGCCTGCGGTGCCGGCATCCCATATGGGCACCAGGTTCTAGTCCCAGTTGCTCCTCTTCCAGTCCAGCTCTCTGCTGTAGCCCAGGAAGGCAGTGGAGGATGGCCCAAATGCTTGGGCCCCTGCACCCGCATGGGAGACCAGGAGGAAGCACCTGGCTCCTGGCTTCGTCGGAAGCCACGCCGGCCGTGGTGGCCATTTGGGGGGGTGAACCAACGGAAGGAAGACCTTTCTCTCTGTCTCTCTCTCTCTCACTGTCTAACTCTGTCTAATAAATTTTAAAAATAAATAAATAAATAAAAATGTACTTCTCGCAACAGGTTGTGTGCAAACCAGTCTGAGAAATACAGGCGCGCACGGAGTGACGGGGGTGTGGGAAGGACTTGGTACAGCTCTGCAAGTTCGCAGTACAAAGAACACGAGAAGCGTCAATTTGGGGGAGAACCAGGGGTGTACAAGAAAGAAAAGGGGTCTGCTGTGCAGGGTAGCAGGTCCCTGTCACATGACGTCCGTGCTGGCTGGCCGTGATGTCACTGAAGTGGAGGACGCTGGGAGCGAGGACGGCCGGCCTCCTCCAGGGCCCTTGGGGGTCTGGCAGCCTCAAAGGTGGCAGACATTGGAGAGCTGGCAAAGCTGCGAGAAAGCCGGTGATGACTCCCTCTCTCGAGACGCGGAAGAGACTTGCAGGACAGCTAAGGGCAGATGGTGCTGTCTCTGGGAGAGCTGGGCAGGGGGCGGGGGGCTTGGCAGCATCAGATGCAGCAGCCGCGAATCTGCTACAGGGAAAGCTTGGGGTCACGTGGGCGTGGTGGGGGTGGCGGAGGGAGCCCAGGGACCCAGACACCTCTTGGCCCCCTCCCACCTAGTCCTGTGACCTTGAACAAGTCCCTTCCCGGCTTTGGACACCAGTTCACCAGTCTCCAAAACGAGGAGGCTGGGCCAGCCTGCCCTGAGCCCCCCCCCCCCATCCCGATATCTGAGAGTCACCGCAGGGAGCTCAGGGCACCACGCGCCACCCAGTGTCTCTGTGTCCCCAGGATGAGCATGGAGCCTGACACGGGGCAGGCCCAGGCCAGGGGTGCCAACTCGCATCAGTGGTGGTGGCAGCTGTGGGTCTGAAGCCTTGACTCGCGGGTTTGCCCTCCCCACCCCCTCACACGGCCGTGTCGGGAAAGATGCTCCCCTACTTTGCGACGGTCACCAAACACCGAGTGCACGCCCGCTGGGGAGTAGCTGCCCTTGGGAACACATCGAAGGGGCAAGAGCCGGGGGTTGCCCTAAGAAATGCCAGCTTCCAGCTGGGCACGCAGCCGCCACACTGAAACTGGACTTCCCGCCCTGCTTGCAGCTGGCTCAACCTTCCCAGGGTGTTCTCAGTGGACATTGCGTCCCCACGTCCCCTCCTCCCCTCCCCTCCTGCTGGGCGCGGAGGTGACCCGAGCCCCTTGGACCCAGCAGGCAAGAGCAGACTCCTGAGACGACAACACGACACGGGAGGCGGAGCAGTGCCCCTGAGCCCCCCGGCAGCTTGGGGCCTCGGATGCCAAGACCATCACGTGGGAGGGAGACGTGCTGGCGCTGGGTGCTCAGGGCGGAGAGGCATTGTTCACTACTTACTACTTACTCAGTTTAATGTGTACTGGGGAAAAATGCCACTTGTTAATCAAACCCAGGACGCCTTTAAGGTGAGTGGACCCCCAGTAGAGACCAGGGATGGCTATCCCGGCCGCATGGTGGTCCTGGCCCTTGGAGACCCAGCAGGAGGCTTTTGCAGGTGGCCTGGCTGGCCACCGGTCCAGAGGCTGCCTCCCCACCGCAGGGGGCGTTCTCAGGTCAGCGCCTGCTCTGCCCTGTGGCTGTGACCTGCCCCGAGGGTCC